TTTCATCTGATGTACCTTAACATGAATCGAAATGAAGGAAATGCAGTCAAAGCCCAGCTAAGTGGCAGAACCTAGCTGACCTTGGCTGATTTTGAAAAGCCAATCAGGGTCCGGCCTTGTTAGTATTGGGATAGGAGACCACAAGGAAACCCCCAGAGAAGGTGAAAAATCATCCCAGAAGAAGGCAATAGCAAAGCAGTGTTATTTGCCAAGAAAGCTACATGGACTTGTCCATGAAATCACTAGGAGCTGAGCTTGATAATGCAAAGAAGACGTTATCTTTTTTAAGGAGGTGTTCAGGGGATGCTTCTCCACGTCTCACAATTTTTTCCATTCTGCCCCGTGAAAAATGGTAATTTGGGAACAGCTCTCGGAGGAGGCTTGGGGATGGCAAGATGAGGAATCTCACCCAAACGCGACAGGATGGAGGCAAGGCCAAAGTGATGAATCATCCATCTCCTTTGTGGCAGAACCTGACACTCAACCCAGTGACCTCCATTCGCAGCAGCAAGTCTTTTGAAGCATCCTCCAGCCCAGAGACTGGAATGCGCTGCCCGATGCAGTACATGGGTGATGGAGTTCTACCCCGTCTTCATCAACGGGTGGCAGCTTTCCAAGATCTCAAAAGATCTTTTGCAGAGATCTTTCCTAAACCAGCCTGCAGTTGCCAGGGACTAACCTTGTGACTCCCTGCAGCATATACATGACCTCTAAGTTACGCCCCTCCTTGCATCATTCCCAAGTAACAGAACATCTCTAATATAACAGACCCCAGTTTGGTGGACGCTAGGTGACATCTGACCCTTCTGAAGGGGAGCAGAGCCCCAAAAGGACACCCTACCACTATGGAGCAGAGCCAGCACACAACACCCAAGGAACCCACACAGGACCAGCAGCCCATACCTTTTCTGTACAGGTAAAACGCAGCGAGTGGGGAGGAGTAATAAGAAATGGACCACAGCACGGAAGCCTGCAAGGACAGAGCAAAGGGGAAGGGGTGAGTTAGACAGAGAACCAACGTTTCCAAGAATCTTTGCAAAGCCGGGGGGATGTTTCTGTATCCTGAGAGATGCACTGGGTTAAAAGCAGCAGGAGAGAGAGCTGAGAGGGCTACGGAAAGCGTGGCGGTTGAAACGAACAGGGAACCAAATCTGGAAAGAGCGATATTGCGTAGAGAAGGGGTATCCATAACGACTCCTGAAAACCACGGGGGACTGCACTGTGAGTAAACACGCTTTTCGTTGTGCACCTAATGAGCTCTTGCGTCTCTCAACAGCCTCGCCAAACCAGGCAGCATTCCAAGCCAGGGAGAGGGAGAAACCTGAGTTCCCTGGAAGAGTCATCTCTCCTTCGCTCCCTTGCAGAAGGAGCTGGCAGAACTCTCTGCTGGAGCTGTTTCATAAGGGAGGCCCCCTATTGGAATGCTGTGAAACCCGCAGGGCCTGGAGGAAGGGAGAGATTTAAGGTATCATTCCCTGATGTGCTATATTATTACATGCAGGGAGAAAGCAAACCAAAGCAAACAGGGAAATACTGAAAACAGAATGCCTTTGATGAGGATCAGTCCTGAACAGGACTGGCACAAGCACAAATGGGAAGCAAAAAGGGGGAAGGAGCTGGTATTATGACTGGCACTGCTTCAGGCTCTATCTAGCAGAATCATGTTGCTGAATACATCCTAGACCGATGTTTCTCAACCTTGGCAGCTTGCAGATGGGTGGACTTCAACTCCCAGAATTCCCCAGCCAGCCATCTCAACTTGGGCAGCTTGAAGATGTGTGGACTTCAACTCCCAGAATTCCCCAGCCAGCCATCTCAACCTTGGCAGCTTGAAGATGTGTGGACTTCAACTCCCAGAATTCCCCAGCCAGCCATCTCAACCTTGGCAGCTTGAAGATGTGTGGACTT